CATTGTTTTCATCACTTGATTGGTTAAGATTAAGTGGTGAACCAATTTCCTTTGATCATTGTTAATATTACAATTCCAAATACAACAAATAACCGAGAGCAAGAGGATGTTCTAATAATATCGTCTTTTAATAAAGAAGTATCTGCATGAAGTGAATGCAGAGCCAAAGGGAAGAAAAGACAGGCCTGATCTCCGAAAAGAGAAAGTAGATGCATCTGAAAATTGAACGAGAATCCACATTTGAGAAATTGGTGAGAATCAGCCCTCCGAAGTGAATTGCAGAAGATAAAATCAAAAGAGATCTTGAAGCCAAAGGAGATGCAAAAGATTTTGCAGAAATCTTTTGCAAATTAACACTCCACTCAAGAAAAACAAACTTCAAAGGGGCCAAGGCTATCTAAATCCAAGAAAGAAACGAAGTGAAATTACAACTGAGAACTAAGAAAGAATATAAGAGAATTGACAGAAAATGGCTTTGGGAGAGCGATCAATTTGAAGAGTCGAATATTTGAATTCAACTTAATGACTGGTCTCATTTCAAAGATTTAAAATATCATTAATTGGATGAAAAGAAGTAATCCTTTTATAGCAAAAATGAGCCAAAAAGAAAAAAAAAATTCAGCACCAATTAGATTTCCATAGTTAACTTTAAAAATATTAAGATAAAGTTTTGCATACAGGCAGATTATAGATCCAAAAAACCTTCAAAACTTTTGGATGGTTATTAAAATTCTAAGAAATAAGATCAAAGACATTTTTTCTTGACATCTTTAATAAAATATGAAAACGAGGACATAGGTACATTTACCCCTCTGAAAGTCAATAGTGGTAGAGTTATGTTAATATTTACTTCGTATGATTTAATTTGATTAAAAAAAATGAATCCAAATAACTAAATTTCAAAATCATTTTAAAAAAGATAAATACTAATTTTATAGAGATCTAAAAGCCAAGTACACCAATTTTTATTAGTCTACATATGTTGTTCCAGCGAATCAAGGGAAAGGCTTTCATCATTTCCATTCATAAAGAACTTCAAATACAATCAATTTTGTTGATGAGCAAAGATAGAAGAAAGAGAGAAAGTTAAAAGCACAAAGTTAATCAAAACAATATTCCCATCTTTAGAGTGTAATTTGTCCTTTCACGAATAAAGTTTTCTTTGAATTACGCCAATAGTAAGAGTCCAAATGTGCTCTTGCATAACCTTATAACCTATAAGAAGGCTTATATATTCAAAAGAAAGTCAAAAAAACAGTCTTGGGCATTTGTAATATAAGAATCTTTGTCATGACAACAACCAAAAAAACATAAAAAATTTAGACAAGTTAATTCTGAGGCCAAAAATATCTTGGTAGAGGAGAAGAATATATTTAAGGGCCAAATCAAATTATCAGGAACTCCATGAATGGAAAGAGAATCATTGCAAATTGAAAATTTTTCATAATAATGCTACTTACCACATTTGCTACCCTAAATTTAATCTCCTTGGTATTTGAACGGAGGATGTAATCAAGGACATTGCATATGATACTGAAAAGGAGAGTAGACAGGTTCTTCCACCTTTGCAATATTTAATTTGTTTGGTAGGTTCTCAAATAAAAAAAAGAATTAGATTTACTAAGGCTTCTTTAAACCAATGGATAAATTTTGAAGGAAAGAATCTACCTCAAAGAATATTAAAAAAGAAGTCCCAAGTGCAACCTCCATAACCCATCTTGAACTCTGCCTTAAGAATTAAATAATAGTTATTATTCTGAATGGTGGAATTTCTATGATCTAAAGCGTTGCAATAATACAAAATGCAAAGTAGCTCAAATAAAAGCTGTGCGAAGTAGCTCAAATACCTGTCCAATGAAATCGAGTACCATTCAGGAAAATTGTGAACTCGTCTGAAAAATCTTTTATTAAAAAAATAAGGGGATTTAACTACCCATTCTGAGAAACGCGAGAACCTGCTCAGAAAATTAAGTATCTTCATGGAAAAAAAAGTACCTATTTAGAGAAATTTGTGCATGTGATTTGACATTTACAACGTACATCAAAGGCCCATAACATCTTATAAACTGTGGGTTAAATACATTGATTTGCTTCTTGGCCGCTATGCTTACAACACTGGCCAACACGTCTTATAGACAACTGGGCAAATTGGTATTCTAACGCGCCCCCTAATGAGGGAGGGTTGACCCTCGGAGGCTGAGAGTTTCCGGTGAATTGAACTCGTAAATTAACGTAAAGTTTTGGACTTTTTTAACTTATAAAATCATCTAAAATGTGGATCATCTGAATTTTCAAATAATTCAAAATTTTATGCTTTAAAATTTTGGCTTCTGGGCTTTAAAATATTTGAAAATCTTGGCTTTTAATATTTCGGCTCTTGGGATTTAAAAATATTTTGAATATGAGCTTTTAAAATTTAGGTTCCTAGGTTTCAAAAATATCTGGGATCTGGGCTTTTAAAATTTAGGCTATTAAGGTTTCAAAATTATTTAAAATTTAAGCTCCTAGGGTCTTAAAAATATTTCAAATTTTAGGCTTTCAGACTTAGGCTCCTAAATTTAAAATATAATTCAAAGTTTGGATTTCAAAAATTATAAATCACGCCAACGAATTCGCAATATATCTGCTAGCGAACAAAAGCAACTCGTTTAACGTTCAAAATGAAACCTTACCTGCATTCGAAAATTCTAATTTTAACTTCAAATTTCAAAAATTTTGAATTTAATTCATGATCTTTAAGTTAATATCTAATTTCAATGTAATACTATGGATTGCTGCAAGTGCATGAAAATCTTCTCATATAAATGTGAATGATTTCAAGTTATATAAGTGCGTTAAGAAGCATGCAAGTTTATCAAATGAATATTTTGCACAAATAAGTCATTTTTATGGTTCAAGTTAATGAAATTAAATACACGCATGGGCTCAAGCTAGAATTTTATATGTTTTAACTAATAGCTTAGAAATGTTATGTGGGGGGTTCAAGTCAAACTCGGAGTCAAATAGTTCATGTTTTAAAATCAATCAATTGAGCCGTAAGTTCCACATAACTAATCTAATCCTCCTCCTCATAACTAGAGTTGAAGCCGTAAGTTCCACATAACTAATCTAATCCTCCTCCTCATAACTAGAGTTGATGAGCATAGTAATTTTGAAACAATGTCCAAAAAATTTTAAATACAATCAGAGCCCTCTGACTGGTTATAATAAGGTTAAAACCTCAATCTGTGTGTTCCACAATGACTTTCTACCCTTTGAATTGTGAATCATAAGAGCACAATTGATTCACACAGCCTTTTGTCGGCTAAAGATGACCTAAATTTATCCCCTCATACAAAACATCCACCCCAGATCTACTAGGGTCCCTCGGAAGATGCAACTAATGGTTGCTTAAAATGATCTATCTGTCAAGTTAGGTTGATGCCTCCTTTGACTAAGTAGTAGATCAAGAACCACGACAACCCAAAATGATGAAACCATGGGATCTTGAATGAGTTCTAAAAGTGAATTTTTAGAACTTAAATCGTATGTCTACTAGTATCATATGTTAAATATTCAGCGTTTGATGACTAGCCATAATTGAAAATGAGGGAGGGATAATTAACCATAGGGGCTTAAATCTATGGGAACCTCGAACTCCAAATTAAAAGTACTCACAAAATGAGGGTGAAATCTCTAGGTAGTGTCATATCTACAATCCAATCTGTTTTTTTGAAAATTTGTCCCTCAAAGCTCTCTTAACAAACAAATGCAAAGAGTTCGAGAAAGTCAAAATTTTCGGAGCCCAAACTAAGAAATGCCAATGAAAGCAAACAACGAGCGCAAAAAAAGATCACAACTCAACAATCCATGCGGACTGAGAAATTTTGTTAGGGGGGAAATATAAATTCACCTATAAAAATTGAAGGCAGATTAGTGGTTTTTGTGCTAAAAAAAAAATCTATTCCAATGTTTCTACTCAAAATGGATCATAATTTTCCTTCTTGCATAGCATTTACAATCTTCGGTATGTAAATCTTAAAATAAAATAAATGAATTGGAAAAGTGATTTTTAAGTAAAGAACTCAACAAAAGCCGCCAAATTTTAACTATATTCTAAGATTGTTTTTTCCCAGAATATCATCCTAAAATTTTAACCTTGATAAAGTCAATCAGCAAAGAAATTAAAAGTTCCTTAAACTTTCCTACTTGATTGTGAATTTACCATATAACAAAGGGCGACGCTCATTAGAATGAGCCACTGAGCTCTCAATAGAATGAGCCACTGAGCCTGATACAACTATTTTCACAAAAAATAATAATAATAATAATAAGAATGGCACTATATTCAAACTTGACAAAAGAAACCCAATTTGATGAAAGGGATAGACATAATTCAATATTTATTCCCAGGTAACACAAGGGCTTCAAAAAAGTCGATCTTTCTTACTTCTTTGTCAAGACAAAAAAAATCATAAGATTGCCAAACAGAAAATATCGTTCTATACAACTTGGAGAAAAAAACAATTGAGATATGCTCAGTTTTCTAAAAGTAGAATAGAATTTTGATGTGTCCTAATTTTTTGCATCTATAATAAGCAATGGTTTTTCTATAATCTCTACCAAGGTGCCCATTAACCAAATATTTGAAGATCTCCAAGCAAGAAATACCAACTTGGCCACACTCATATAGCTCCTAAATGTATAAAAGAATGTATGAAAACACTAATTAGCATTGCGCTCATGATTCCAAGGCAATGACCACAACACCAAGGAAACGGCTATCAAAGCTCTTGGAACCATTTTTATTCATTTTATTTCATGATCATACAATTATAACGTGTTAATGGACACAATTCATTTTTGTTAAGTACACTACCATATTTTATGTTCAGCTTGAGTTATCCAGATACCATTGTCTTGATGAGAATATGTTTGGAGATTGAAATGTCAATTGCTAAAACCAATTAAGATAAATTGAGTATCCATTAAACTATAACATAAGCAACGACAGAACATACCTCACCGCTCAAGTCCATCATCAAGCATCAGTTCATTGGAAGTCATCTTCGATCTCATGCATTGGGATAGTTGGGCTGGATTCCAAGGCTACTACCAAAGAGTTTGATACACTGCTTGAATGCCAATTTGTGCCTTCTACATCTATTCCTTGATACTCAGTTTTTTTTGCACCAACCTCCGACAATGGAACACAGGCAAGCTGTCCTGCACTTGATGAAGATGAAACAACCTTGGGTATGCAAATACGGTCCCCAGCATTCGATGATGAAGGTGAAGACTTTGACCCATTTTTCATGTCATCGTCATCAGCTGAACAAGCAATTGCATTTATCGTTCGACGATCTTTACCAGCAACAGAAGAGGCAGTCACCCAGGCAAACTTCAAAGTGCAGCCTTCACAATATTTACCAGCTTGATAAGCCCTTTCAGCAGAATGGCGGGTATGAAATGTAACGCAAACATATTTTTTTTCTGGCTCTTTTAAGACTGAATTTTCATTTTCCTCTGGGGCTTCAAAAACAACAGAAGCAAGATCGCCAAATTTTGAAAAATGATCCTTCAAAACTGGAATCTGCAAAATATGCAACAAACTCAGACAAGAACAAAGCAATTTACTGAAGCACAAAATACAAGTAAAAAAAGTGCACCATAGATCTTTCCTTAATATAAGAAGCATGTTGCCTCCTTGCTTGATCTTTGCAAAATACTCTAAGTTATAATATTAAACAGAGATGAAGGTGGCAGTGTAAGAAGCTGCAAATATTGGCTTGGTCTGACAAAGCGTCAATGTTCAGAAAATTTCTTTTAAATGGAGCATAAGCAGCATTATAACGTTAAACTTGTTAAAGTTAATAAATTGTTTGATTAATACTAACTTCTCAAACTTAAAAAAAGTCAAAAATACCCTTTTTTATTATTATAGGTTTTTTTAAACTGTTATGTTAATACTAACTTCTCAAACTTAAAAAAGTAAAAAATACCCTTTTTTATTATTATAGGTTTTTTTTAACTGTTATTTCTTTTCTTTCCGCAGACTGCTCTCATAAATGGCGTCAGATTTTTTTCCGCCGCTCTCATAAATGATATCGGGAAGCTTCCTCCATAGCAACGTGCTTTCACCGTCCTTCTGTGGAGCCGGAGAAGAAGAGCTGAAGAAGGAGAGCCGACGGAGAGGGAATGTGTTGAATATAAAAACGATAGGTATGTTTAAAAAATAAAAAAATAAGGAGCTGAAACAGCCGAACAGAGTCAAATGTCAGGCCGATTCGTGATCTGAAACACCAACAACGTCGTTGTACCAAACGACGGCCATATATTTTGTTGGCGTTCTCCGGACCGCAACAAAACTTCACCGCATCACCAAAGTAGGCCTTAATGTTTGCTGCTCCTGAAAAGCTAATGTTGGCTCAAAGACCAGCTTAAGTTTCACTAATCCACAATGACGATGAAATAATCAACAAAAGATGGTAGAACAGTTTAAAAAATTTTGAACATGAGAAATACTCAAGGCATTCATGTTTGGTTAGAAAAAAATTTCAGCACACACACACCATTTAAATACTCTTCAACAAATTGTCTCTTTTGGTGAGCATCTTTCCCTCTTGACCACCAGAAAACCGGATTGATTATATGCTCTCATGTTTAAGCCCTCTTCTCTAGCTACTGATCCTAAAGAGCACAAATAACAAGAGCGAATTCTAAAGTTTAAGCAAGGTTAGCGAGTTAGATTATCTAAAATGCAGAATGAAGAATCCACCTTTAAAACTGGATGAAAGAGTGGGCTGGGCTGCCATGAGAAGGTGGATAAGATCTGTAAGAAATGAAAGACAAATCTGATTTCTTCCTAGTATTTTTAAGGAGCAAAGTGCAATGTAATGCAATGCACATAGGGCTACAAACAAATCGAGGGTTTGATAAGCTGCTCGTAGCTAGGAACGATAAGGGCTCGTTCAAGCTTGTTTGATTAACTAATTAAACAAATGATCGGACATTAAATAAACAAGCATGAACCTTGTTCAAGTCATTTATGTACGCTAGGTCTGCAAATGAACCAATGCACTCGCGAACAACTTGAATTGGACTCTATTAAGGCTCGATCATGTTCGTTCAAATTAGTAAATAAACAAACTGGAATAATTTTTAAAAGCTTGAAGTTTAAATAAATTGTTTAAATGAATTGAACATGAACATAGTCGAACTTGTTCATTTATGTTCACGAACAAACTAATTTGTCGTTCAACGAGTAACTTGTTAAATACTTGGTATTAAGCTCGATAATAACTCGTATTATATATATGATACATTATTTAAATAAAATTTAATTAGATATAATTTATTTAATTATAGATTTGATAGTAATATAGTATTATATAAATAATATTTATAGATTAGTTATTAATTATATATTTATTTTATTAATAAGTGAATGGTAATTTAAAGAAAGATATTTACAGTTAAAGTGAGTTATAAAAGATTTTTCTTGTAGAGTTTTCTTAACATGGAATGCAATGAGTTCATTTTTTATGATCATCACACTGTAATTACCAACAACATAATGTGAATTGTCTTATTACTACTATTTAATTATTAATATGATTAAGTAAATAATCATCCCTATAACTTTTAGGATCAATAAGTTCTTCCACTTAAAAAATTTGAACTAGTGTACTTCTATAAAAAAATATATATAGCTAATTAGTAAAGTTCAAAGATTTTAGAGTTCATAATCAACAAATTAATAGTTGTGATTACAATTGCAAAATTTTTTATACGAAAATTTAGATTCTCATTTGAATTCTTAGCTCGTTTATTAGCTTGTTTAATTACTTGTTCACTTGTAATAAAAAATCAAGTAAAAATCAAGTTCAAATATTGAAAAAGTTAAACAAATCAAAAGCATAAACAGTGTATGAAAGCTTCACACAAAGCTCAAGCCTAGCATGAACAACTTATAATTATACCAAGCCAAGTTCAAACAATGATATACTCGGTTCGGCTCGGCTCGGCTCGACTACAACCCTAATGTTTGTGATCAATTTCAACTAAAGCTCGCGAACAAGCTTTTTAAGAAGCTTGATGAACAGTTTCGCTTAAAATTCAAGAATAAGCTTGCGACTAAGCTTGATTAAAGCCCGATTTAATGCTTATGAATAGGGTCGGATAAAGCTTAACTTAAAGTTTGTGAATAAACTCAATTATATTAAATTAAATTAAATTTTTAATTCATAGTACATAAAACAAGATAAAGACCTGATTTAGTTTTTCATTTATTTTGAGCATTTATATATTTGTTTAATTATTCATTCAGTATTTTGTGTATTTGAAAGCTAGTTTGTTTTTGTAAGTTCAATAAGTAACTCATTTATAAGCTTTATAAAAATTATTTGATTAGAAAATAAATAACTCAATTATATTACTCGTTCATTTGTTCGATAAGTCTCATTTATTTAGAAATAAATAGCAAAACATCACTAATTTTTATTCGCTCAATAAATGTTGTTTGGATGGAAATTAAGCAGGACGATAATACTACTCATTAATATGCTCATTAATGACTCAATTATTATCATATGAAACGAACATGAAATAAGCTCAACCAGTCAGAATGACAAATTAACTAAGTTTGAACAAAAGCTCGATTTGAGCTCGAGCTCAGCTTGAGATCTAATTCTATAAACAAGTTCAAGCTTGAACACCCCCAAATGCTCAGTTTGAGCTCGAGCTCAAATTTTATAAATGAACTCAAACTTGAGCACACCCTTGCCCGAGTTACAACCCACAAGCGACTACAAAAATTATAAGCAACTTTTATTCATCAGGTACTCTCAACCACCCCCCCCCCCCAAAAAAAAACCCAC